GAGAAGCCCCCATGGCTGCCCTGCCTGGCTCCATCCCCTGCCTAGCCCAGCTTCCCGGCACTTTAAAAAAAAAATACAAGTAAACTTCAACAACAATTAGTTGATATTCTTTAGAAATGTTTAAAAATAATTTAACATTGATCTTCCTGAAAGCTGCTGTTACTTTGCCTCTCAAATGAAGGTTTTACTCACAAATTCATTGTTCATTGAACATTTTCTGAAGAATGTTTTCAGTGTAAAAAAGTAGGTTTATTTTTACCTAGATCAGAGCAATGGACAACTCTCATGTAGCACTGGCATCCAAAAGGGCATACTGGAAATATATCAAAAGGAATGAGTGGTAGAATTGGTTCTCTAGTTGGAAATAGTGAGTTATCGTTGTCATCATCATCTGCATCTTCCATGTCTTGAAGCATGATGTTCTTTAATGTAAAATATGAAGGGCCAATGAGAGGTTTAGCAGAGCATAAAGCGAAGAAGAGAAGCAGCACATATTCTTTCATGTCTTCTCAAGGAGGATAACCAATCTTTGAAAAAATTAACAAAATATAGCTGAAGTTAGAAAGTGTAAAACTATAAATAACTGCATTATACCTTTAGCTTAACTCACTTAATTCCTGAACTCTTTGGCCATAATCAGAGATGCTCTTGTTTGAAAAATGCTCTGGAATTGTTGATGCTGATGCCACATTTCTGTAGTTTATTGAGCTCAGTTAAGAAGTTAATTAGATTTAGTTAATTAGTTAATTAGATTTTGAAGTACAATACTACTGGCTCTAAACTTCTAAAAGAAAGATAATATAAAAGCGCTCCATAATAAAACTGCTTACAAGGACTTGGAATTGCATCCCAGTTTACCAGAGAGAACAAGTTTTTAAAACTTGGCTATGTATGTATAATTGTATCGTTCAGGACAAAATCAAATTATTAATTGATTTATTGGTATAAAAATGTAGCCATTAAAACTCTCTAAACTTTTGCTGATGTTTGAAAAATAAAACATACAATTAGCTGAGTTTTCAGTCGCCAACCATAAAAGACCCCTTTTAACACTGGAACGGCATATAAGGAAACATGATCTTTGTGATGGGCGTATATGGTATAGGTTTGCCTGCGTTACAAACTTCAGTTGTATCTGAAAATGAACTGAAGCCAACAGCATGTTACTTGGAACTGATTTAATATGCATCTGTTTATGTGTTTTACTGTACAGATTGTTGTAGGGCAGCGATTCTAAACCTTTTTAGACTCCAGGCACCCCTCAGAAAACGCCAGCTCTCATATTTTACTCATTTTTGACTATAGAAAAATAATGGAACAGTTCTTTTGTAAAGAACTCAGACCACCAGACATCAGAATTTTTGAGACCAAAAGAATTCCTGTTTACAATTTCTTGGTTTATCTTGTGGACTATGCAGGTGTTTGCACACCTAATGTCTCTAATATCACATAGCATCCTGTGGGACCCTTAAAAGGATTTTGTGGCACCCTGGTGGAGAATCACTGATCTAGGGACTCCACATAGACAGCAGAAGTTTTGCCGACAAAATATGTGCTTGATATCATTAATGTGAGTAGTAGTGTAGCATTAACTACAACTTCAGAGTCTTCTTGGTTTAGTTCCATGTGGCAGTACAGTCTAGAAGTCAGAAAGATGTTGAATCAGTTGAACTACCTTTACGTCAGAGAAATGATTAGGAAAATGTCAATTAAAAAGAATATTTTTATCCACAGCTATTTAGAAAACCAAAAGAAGTCACAAGTTCCCTACCACCTCAGAAAAGGCTTCTCACAGAAAACAGAAACACAGTATCTTACTGTGCCTATGAATATTATGCCATTCATCTTTTCTTGGTATACTTACTATTAGAGTGCTCTTACCCACACCCCTTCATTAATAATTAGGGCAATGGTTTTTAACTTTTTTAGAGTCAGGGCACCTCTCCCTAACTTTTTTGAATTTGGCAGCAACTTAGTTGAGAGCCACTGTTGTGCTGCTACAACTTACCTCATTGGTTCTCAACTAGGTCCATGAGGAAAGGCTGAAAAAAGACAGGGTTACTTAGTCTGGAAAAGAAAAGACTGTGGGGACTGACTTTGATAACAGTTTTTAAATACCTGCAGGATAATTACAGAGAGGATGCAGATATTCTTTTCTCTGTGGCTGTAGGGACAGTACTAGGAACAGTGGTTGCAAAATTCAGCAAAGGAAATATAGGTTGGAGATTAGGAAAAATTTCCTTATTATGTGTGCATCCAGACATACATGGATGTTTGGTTCCCCAGGGACAAGTAGCAGCAGTGCATCCTGGTGCGTGACACGTTACCCCAGGGGTGGTAGGGGAGGCTAGGGCCAACCTCCCCTTACCTGGGGGCCTCCTGGATGGCAACCATGGCTGTTCTGGGGGGG